CAAATTAGAAGTACAAAACAAGGATTTGTAAAGAAAAATGTCGGAGGATTTCAATATAAGCCAAGAGGAGACTGGTTTTCCTTTGCTGTAAACAAAACTTGGTTCTTGCGAGACTAGCATATTTGATTATGGTTTATAAAATTTTAAATATGGATATTTTTCTTACACAAATGCATCAATTCACTTCAGAAGGCCTTTATTAACCCCCCAGAGCCGTGTGGAGCACTTTTTTATGATGGATGGATGCACTTTATTTTGCTTCAAAATCTCGACCCCCATTCACTGCCATTATAAAGCTGGGAAGAGTCAGGACATTTTTTTAATAAAGTCATATACACCTAGGATGGCTTGAGGGTGAGTAAATCATGTGGTAATTTTCATTTTCGAGTGACTTATCCCTTTAATTCTCATTCCTAAGATTTACTGTAGCTGCTTTCAGAATACAGGTGAGTATTTATAGGATGGCCTGTTTGTACCTGCTCATGGTCTTCATTGAAGATGCCATCGAGTATAAGGTAAGTCCAAAACACTGGCCACTCACATTCAATGTTCTCAAAGAGCTTCAGCTCAGCTGGATCATAGTGAAGGCGAGTGGGGTCCTATCACAACCATAAAAACATAGAATGCACTCACACTGTCCAAGAATAGCCACAAAATACTCATTTTGTGTAAAAAAAAAAGGGTCTGGTTACCTCTTTTGGGGTCCTGTATCCATCTCGGATGAATCGACAACAGCCGTAACGTCCCTAAAATGATTGAAATTTGCTTAAAATTGTTTTTTTTTAAAAAGCAACCACAGTTGCAAAGGGGACATAATGATGGAAAAAAATTTGAGATGGGAAGAAAATTTCAATTTCAATGTTTTCACATTAACTTGCAAAAATGTTGCATTCCCTCACAAAAGTATTGCGTTCCCCTGAGAAACTTTACGGTCTTTCTCAAAATGTTTGCATTCTATCACAAAACTTTTGCATTCTCTCGCACAAGTATTCCATTCCCCCCAAGAAACTACTGTTCCCCAGAGAAACTTCGCATTCACTTGCAAAAGCACTAAAATATGTTTTTTCCTCACACTTCATATTATTTTCATCAAGGATTTGAGAGTGAATGCAAACGTTTTCCATCTAACACAAAAACAATTAAATATAATTCTTCCTCTCATCTCTCTTTTTTTTTTTTTTTTTTAAAGTGACGTTTATCGGTTTTTGCAAATTAACTCAAATATTTCAGCGGAATGTATATTTTAGTCAGAATTATTGCGCTCCTATTTAATCGAGCTCTGTCTGTTTCACTGAAGTCTGTGAAGTTTAGCCGAGAATCCCAGAAGGCTCGTGCACTCCTGAATGGAAAATGGAAATATTTCCATGGCTTTCTAACATTTACAGACAGACAATATACCTGTGAAATGCACATTCAGGAAGACAGAAAAATGGAAATATTTCCATGGCTTTCTAACATTTACAGACAGACAATATACCTGTGAAATGCAAGTTCTGCATTCAGGAAGACAGCACATCTCAAACGGTATTGCCTCATATCGAATCGCTTATAAAGAAAATATCGATATATCGTACAAACTCGATATACCGCCCAGCTCTACTTCTCACATTTAAAAAAAACATGAAAACATATTTTAAAACTGTATTTGGTTATCACAGTAACTGTGAATAATATAAACAGTATTGGTTTTTTTTGTTTGTTTGTTTTTTTTAACTTTTTTTTTTCTTTTCTTTTTTTTTTTTTGTTTTCAACAATATAGCACAGCACTTTTAAAAATCACACACACACATATATTGTATTTATATATATTGCAGTGAAGTTTTTTTTTTTTCAGATAAAAATGTCTACCAAATGCATAAATGTTTGACCCCCCAACATTGCAATAATAATAGAAATTTTGTAATTTTCTATATAAAAAAGCCACTAAATTATAATATGTATAATTATTTATTTAAGGAGAATATCATAGGTTACCCAGTATTTCAGACAGCTCCAAATGGGTCAAATTGACCTGCATCCTGACATGAGTGTTTTTAAAACCCCATCTTTTCCTCCTGCAGTGGTCTGACACAAATAAACAATGAGGAGTTAGTTGTTGTGTGTCCGTCTCTCAACAAAGCCTTTAAATATTCAGTGACACAGTGAAACCCACTGCGCCCCTCCTGCCTCCAGTCAGACAGCTGTCGCCCTGCACAGGGTGAAGGCTGAGGTTTAAATTTAAAACCTAATAACCCTGAGATCATCATTATATCTTTGTCACGATAGACACCATATTGAATTTGAACACATATGAAACATAAAAAGCTGGTTCTGAGCAAATCAGTAACATGATTAGTTAGCTGATGCTGCATGCTGTTTTTTCATGCAGTGACATTCAGACATACAGTATATGTATATCTATGGTATCGATTTTGCAGTCTCCTGTGCTCTGTCCTAGACTGAGGAATGTCTGGTAAAGCTCCATGTTTAGTTTAGCTGTGTTTTAGCCTTGCAGCAGTGAGATGAATGTAATGCTGGAGCAGGAATAGATGCAGTTCCATCATCTTGTCTTACACACTCCAGCTGTCTGATGTGTAATGTGCACTGATGAGTGCTTGTGATAACAGCAGTGCTGATGAGGCGCTGTGGAGAGCTGCTGGGAGGCTTCTGCATTTTATATAAATGGTCCTCAGTCTCAGGAATGCAGTACATGAATTAGATTTATTATATCGATTTACTGTTCTAAAAAAAATCTATGTACGTTTCTGTTTATTAAGCTTTGGGACATTAATAACAAAGTTCTGAAAAGCAAGTTATTGTAACAGTTGGATAATTTGTCTTGTTCTGTTAGAAACACTAATTTACTGTAGAACACACTCCTTTAAATATGAATGCAAATTGATAATTATAGATTATAACTAGTGATGAACGGATCGAGAAATTTGTCAAATATAGAATGCTGTCATTAACCAATACAGATTGTGATAAAATCATTAGTATGTACCCAATCATTCCTTTGCTACCGCCTACATTACTCTGACCAGTCATAACTTGGTGCTGACTTCAAACCAATCACATTTTGTTTTACAGTCAGAGTAACAGATGACAGTATTTTGACTGATCTTTTGATATGTGAGTTAGTGGCACTCTCAGAAGATCAAACTTGTGTCGCTCATCCACTACAGTTTTATTCACAGAACTGCACCCGCTCTGTGTCTGTCTGCCTTTCTCTGTAAAATAAATTGTCATAGTTGGTCAGTTTTTCCAGATATAGCAGGTCTGTTTTTACCTGTGATATACTTCCCCTTCGGCACCATCCCACTTCTGCTGTTATCAGTCTGTCCATGAGAAAAGTCTTCTTATCTGCACAAAATTAGATGTAGCACCAACATTATTTGGTTACAAGACGTGAACCGAATCCAAATTGCTTCAATAGAGCTGTGCACAGTAATGTAAAATGTCTTCTGTGGCAGCAGTGCAGAATATCTTGGCTGTGCTAGTTTGTGTATAAATTGCAGGCCAGTCCTTCCTCTTACAGAAATAAATCAGACTCTTGACAGCTGAACACACTCAACCCTAAATCACACCTTCAGCCGCGTACAATGCCTCAAAAGGCATAAAAAAGAAAAAATATATTCCTGGAACTTTTGCCAAAGGATCGCCGGAGATGTGTTTGGTTCAGGCTGCTCTCTCCACAGCTGCATTTCCTTATAAAGCCATCCCTAGAATCCAGACACATGCAGAACCTTCCTACAAACATCTTGACTTCAAACCTCTGCTTGTTAAAATTTACTTCACTGGGTTCTCACATAGCTGTCATGATTCATCTTTTGATAATGTGGATGGTCCAACGTTTCCACAGGTTTGCATTGACTTGTAATTGTACTTGTAGCCACAACATAAAGTAGTTGTAGTTGTACTTCTAGCTGCTAATTAGTATTTGTTTTTGTAGAGTACTTGTAGCCACAAATTATAGTTGTACCTGTAGATGTAATTCTAGCCACAAATTAGTGTGCGCGCTTGTAGTTGTACTTCTAGCTACAAATTAAAGTTGTTGTAGTTGTAAGTACTTGTATTTATAGTGTACCTGTAGCCACAAATTTAAGTAGTCGTGGCCACAAATTAAAGTTGTTGTATTTGTAGTGTAATTATAGCCACAAAATTAAAGTAGTTGTACTTGTAGCCACAAATTAAAGTAATCTTAGCCACAAATTAAAGTCGTTGTATTTGTAGTGTACTTGCAGACAAAAAAAATAAAATAGTTGTATTTGTAATGTACTTGTAGCCACATATTAAAGTAGTGTATTTGTAGCCCTAGATTAAAGTAGTTGTACCTGTAGTTGTACTTCTAGCCACAAATCAAAATTTCCAAGGGGGCTGCCATGTGAGAATACAGTGCACATGTAAATGCACCATGATGAACACCAAGACAAGAGCAATTAAAGAATGCTTTAATACTAGGAATCAGCCCTGTGACCTTGGCATTACTGCAGTATCTCATATTTGATCAGTGACAGTCATCTTTAGGTATTTCAAAGTAAGTTTGATGAGATTCAGTGTCTCAGCCTTCTTAAAGCAGAGAATTTGTACTTGTGAGCAGAATGTGTTTCATTGGGTTTTGTTGAATGCTGTGTAAAGTACTCTGACATGTCTTTTCTTTCTTTAGGCCGCAGGTAATGCCGTCAAGAGGGCATCAGATAACCTGGTGAAGGCGGCTCAGAAGGCTGCGTTTGAGGCTCAAGATGATCAGGCTGTGATGGTGAAGAGCAAGATGGTGGGCGGTATCGCTCAGGTAAAGAGAATATCAGTTACAAGTCAAACACTAGCACATTTAGATGTATATGAACTGTGTGTTTTGTTAGAGCATTTCCAGCACAACAACTGACATTTTTCATATAGTGAATTAAAGCATGCAGTTCGTTACCTTCACTTTCATGTTTCCTGTCAAAGTTCATTGACACATGCAATGTTATTTAAATGTTATTAATGTTAATTTGTTAATTACTACAAACAACCAATTAATTTGTAACACATTTATTCAATTCGACATTGTAACGTCACTGTTTTGTGGGGAAATATAGAAATATATTTTTATGGGTTTATCAAACATCCTTTGCATTCTTTGTATGGAATTAAGTATTTAACATTGAAGCTCAACAAATGAAATATCACTTATATGTACTTTATGTGGAACACCATCATTAATAGAAATGTAAATAGGAAAACCAGCAAAAGGCTTGTTTGCATGTCTGAGGCACAAATAGCTGTATTGTTAAATGATTGCATTTCCTGTGCATTTTGATGCAGTTCGTTGCACCTGTCTTTTGTCATTATAAACTGTAGAGTGTAACTAGAGTTTTTACATCTAGATCTTGCATGCATTGTGGATTTTCATCTGTGTGTGTGTGCCCTCAGATCATTGCTGCTCAGGAGGAGATGCTCAGGAAGGAGAGAGAGCTGGAGGATGCCAGGAAGAAGCTGGCCATGATCCGACAGCAACAGTACAAGTTCCTGCCGTCAGAGCTCAGAGAGGATGGACAGGATCAGTGAGCTGCATCATAGACTAATCAATGACATTCAGAGTTTGAGAAAAGTAATTAATGATATGCAATGAGTAAAAAGTGAACTATGTATCAGGATGTCTATTTTAAAAGCGTTTTGTTTATTTCTGTCACTTTTTTGAGAATTGCCATGCCAGCTTTATTGTTTTGTTGTATTTGGATAATATGCAGCATATACAAATCCTTTTTAATTTCTTCTAATAGATCTATAATTTTTTTTTTTTTTTTTCATTTCTAGATTAATTAGATGAGCAGTGTGTTTTGAAAGCTCGTGATCATGGCAGGGGCCAAACAGTGTTTGTAAGCTTTTCAAGACAA